CTTTCTTTCTTTCTTTCTTTCTTTCTTTCTTTCTTTCTAAGTTTATCATTAACACTTAGTTAACGGATCCAATAACGGTATTCAGTGTTTTGTGAATCATGAAATTATCAATAATATAGAATTATATTCATAATTGATTCTTTCCTCATTTTTCCTTTGTCCCGTTTATCAGTTTCTTTCCCTCTCTCAATATAATTCTCTCTCTCTCTCTCTTTTCTTTTCTTTCTCTTTCAGCATGTTTATCACTCTCTTCTTGTGTGATTTAGTGTTTGATGCACGTTCCCTGTCCAGGTGAAATCGGTCCGCTAGACGCCCCCCCCCCCAATGACAAGTGCCAGACCCCCAAACTCGGGACCGATTAGATATGCAAACGTGATAGACTTAAATCGAAAAGGATAGCCAGTTGGCTGACAATGGAATAGATGAACCGAGGAAAGAGAAAGCTAAGACCCCCCCCCCACTTTCTCTGGCAGGGGAACGAGTACAAGAAACAGTCACACGTCTTTGAAAATCCCGGAAGTTGATGTCATCTATAATTTATGCAGTGTTTTTCCCTGTTTTCTGCTGACGACATTCACCTCGGCAAACAAACTTGCTTATTGCCAAGTTTGACAACAAATGCTGATCATGACGATAATAATTCTCCGACATTTGCCATTCGATACGCATTCACAGAGATACAAGCTCTGTCTGGAAAATATGAAAACATTCAATAACAAAGGAATAGCCTCCCTAGTGGAATGGCGCCTTAGTCCTCCTCAAAGTAATCCCTTTGAGATTTCACACACTTATCAATATGAGACTTCTACTTTTTAAAAACTGTTTGCAAATGAAACCTTCGGGATCGACATCAGCTGCCTCGTCAAGTTCTCCTTAATCTCGTCCATGTCATTAAAACTGCAATTTTAATTTTGAAATTGTGCGGAGGCTGAGAGACACGGGTGATGTAACTAATAATAATAATAATAATAATAATAATGAAATTGAAATCTCAAAAGAAATCTCAAAAGTGTGGCATATGGGAACATCAACAATCCCCGTTGTAGTTGGAACCCTCGGATTGGTTGTAAAAGATTCCAGTAGACTAATTGAAGGGATTCCTGGAAGCCCATACCTTAAAGAAATACAAAATATTGTTCTCACAAGTACAGCCCACACCTTACGAAGGGCTTTATCTATGTAAAATATTTTTTTCCGGTGGAAAATGTCATGATGCCATTTCTAACCTTAGGTCCCTGAGCGGGACGCGGAAAGAAATGAGTACACATAAGAAATCAAAGGAAATAAAATAATAATAATAATAATAATAATAATAATAATAATAATAATAATAATAAGAAGAAGAAGAAGAAGAAGAAGAAGAAGAACCTGTAAATCGAAGTAACAAAAATGTGGAAACTTAAACCAAAATTGGCTCTGTTGTGATAGGGACATTGGGTATGATAAAGAAAGGGGACCGATAATCATGTGAGTACCATTCCTGGACGCATCAGCAACTCAGAGCTACAAAAGATTACTTTGTGTGGAACTGCACATATCATCATCCGTTAAAACTCTCTCGGTCTAATCGAAACGTACCAAATATGCAAAAATAACTCTCCTACATTGCTCGTTTTAATGATAGACCCCGGAAGGGATTTGGTAATTAGGCACTTAAAATGGCTCTCTGGCAAGATAATACCACAAATAATAATAATAATAATAATAATAATAATAATAATAATATTTATAGCAAGAAGAAGCTTATAAAATATCCCTCGGTGTAAATGAGAGTGAAGGAATTCACCATAAAAATTGAAAGAAATAGTGCGAAAAGTTTACTATAGAAGGGTACGATTGATATTAAGAACTGAATTAAATTCTCACAACAGAATTATGGCCATAAGCAGCCTTACCATCCCAATGGTTCAATATAGTTTCAACATTTTGAACTGTAATCTAAATGATATCAAACAAACGGATTCTAAGATAAAAAAGTTTCTTTTTAAAGCATAACACGCGTCATCGAAAGGCTGATGCCGACCGTCTATACAGACCCCATAAAGAAAGTGTAAGAAATCTTATTCAGCTAGAATTGTCATACAAGACCACAGTATTGGCTTACTGACGTACATGGAAACAACAAAGGACTGGGTGATACATTTAGTCAAGCAACACGAAAACAGAAAGAAAAATATTCAATCATTAAAGAAGGTTGTAAATACAAGCGAGATTTAAATTTAGTAGATTTTGTGGAAAACCAAAACAGAACCCAAGAACTAACTGTTGCATCAAAAATTAGGAAAATGAAAATCAAAGATAAATCTCTTGAACAGATGAAACAACGCTGGCAAGGTAAACCTCTGCATGGCCAATATCCAGAACGAGGCTAATAAAGTCGGTGTTGATAAAGTTAATTAAAGGCTGAAATGGAAGGCTTTATTCTTGTAGCGCAAGACCAGAGACTTTTCACAAGAAACTTTCAGGCAGATATCATACATAATGCAGGTTATGTGATAAATATCAGGAAACCATAGACCATCTAATCTCAGGATGTTCTGTAGTTGCGCCAAATGAATATAAAAATCGTCACGATAGAATGGGCCAATATTTACAGTGGACAATGTGCAAACAATTTGGAAAAGATATTAATAAACACTGGTATGGACATGAAGTAATAGATAGCGGCTCGGATTGAGGAATCGGGGAGCCGAGTTCGAATTCCATATATATATATATATATATATATATATATATATATATATATATATATATATATAAAGAGCTAGAAACATGAAAGTCTGTCGAAAAAATCGCACAGATACAGGTTTGAAGCCCAAGAAAAAACCCCGATACGAGTAAACAACTAACTAACAAAAAGAGCTCAATACAACCGTAGAGCAGGCCTAGATAAACCTAGTGAGCCAAACAAACCAGCTTTCCCTGACGATCTGCTTAGGTGAAACCTTGGTAGGTTTGTCTGGTTTACTAGGTTTATCTATCTATCTATCTATCTATCTATCTATCTATCTATCTATATATATATATATATATAACGATGATTTAAACTGAATAACTTTTTGCCCGAAAGAGGTAATGTGCGATTTCTGATAATTTTTTTTCCTTTCAAGCAGAGTAATAACAAATAGAAAAATCGCTAGAAACAAGGAAAAGAGTACTAAACTGCAGTTATATCTGTCCCCCACTCCGCTGTCAAAGCAGAAGAGGATAGTTGAAGCAACAGAAAAGTGGTTCTGCAGAAGGATGTTGAGGATACGGTGGACCGAACATGTGAGCAACGACGAAGTTTGGGATAAAATGGAAACAAAAAGGAAGACTAATGCTTAACATAAGAAAGAGACAGTTGAGGTTTCTGGTGGGGGGGCATTTAATGAGAAAAGAGGGCTTGGAAAATCTGATACTCACGAGACAAATAGAGGGAAGAAGTGACAGAGGAAGACACACATAACATACTTAGTGAGCTTGAATAAATGGATGGCGGAACATGTTTAAGAGAAATAATGGGATCTGGTCCGTTACTTTTCAGACATACCGTATAATCTTACTTATCATAAAACGCAGTGTGTGTGTGTGTGTGTGTGTGTGTGTGTGTGTGTGTGTGTGTGTGTGTGTGTGTGTGTGTCTGTACGTTTATATATTGGATCGGATTTCCTACATTTTTCAACCGATTTCAACAAAACTTCACAGGACTACGTAAAATTACCTTGCGGTGGTTCTGACAGCGCCAAAAATTGGAAAAACACAATTGTTTTTGCCCGAAATCAATTTGAAAACACGATTAAGAGGCATTAATGAAAGGGGGACAACTCATATCAAGTTATACTTATTATAAAACCCAGGTTGGTTGTTTGTGTGTGTTTGTGTTTGTTTATATATGGGATCGGATTTCCTGCATTTTTCAACCGATTTCAACAAAACTTCACTTTTTTTTGCAGGTAGTGTTTCTTATTGTCTTGCACACTTTTTTCTTTATTTTTACATTCAGAATGCTTTAAAAATTCCATTTACAAGACAATTGTTTATAATAAAATTCTATTCAATCAGTAGACTCATAATGATTGAAAACAATGTTTTTGCTTGAGTTTGGGTTTAACCAATTCGTAAAAAAAACAAAACAACAACAACAAAAAAACAACAACAACAAAAAAAAAAACTAATTAAGACATGCGTGTCCGTCAACCTTAATAATCTTTGTCAATTTTATTTTTCAGTCTTTATGATGGTCAGTACTTGATCTATCTCTTACTGTTACATCCCCGGGCAACGCCGGGCTCTACTGCTAGTTACTGAATAAAAATACAAGATAAAAAATATCGTACGATGTTGATTTTTAGATAAAATATTTCATTGAATTTCAAGTTACATATTTGTTATGCCATAGTACCTATTCTATTGTAATGGACTCTGCTATAGATAATAAGTTGGAGTAGCAGTGGAAAGTCTGGCAGGATGGTGTTGAGCGCGTCAGTCGAGATTCGGACATTTGAAGTACCAACCATCACAACTAGATTGCTGCGCCATTGACTTTTATTTTCCAAGTTCCTAACGTTTTGTACGTCGGACCTAATTTAGGACAACATTAGAAATACAAGCCTCCACTGTGAAAATACTCCACAACAATATTAAAAATATTTTTGTCGCATTTATTTATGTCTACAATGAAGCAAGTCAAACAGATGTCTTCTAAACTTATATAGTCTGGTACAAGGCCACTGCCGTGTGGTCATCAACAGTGATGAAATTAATTAACAATATATTCCAAATCTATTCTCATTCTAAAGCAGAAGCTTAAAATAGATCTCACTTAAGCTTATCTTTGTATAGCACATAGCTACAATAATGAAGCGTCTATTGACTATCGAATTCAATATAGTTGGTCGGTTTTGTTTAGTGTGAACCGCACGATAGGCAAACGTATCTAATCCTATTGAGAGAGGAAAAAATAATAAGTAGAGATTAGGTGGAGACGTTAGTAGGACAGATTTTAAAAGATAGCCTTCATGATAAATTACAAATCCTACTTGGAAACAGTGTCTCTCTCTCTCTCACTCTCTCTCTCTCTCTCTCTCTCACACACACACACACAGAGGGAAAGTAAGAAAGACACGAAACTCAATGTCTTGTGTTCTTTAATGTGCAACCAAGGTCACATGCTTATTGTAAACAACAGCTTTCAGTGACATATTTTAGAAATATATTAAAATATTTCATAACATTTACTTGGAACAACCGCCTGTATCAGTTATGTGCCATGCATGATAAACGCTTAAGCGATCATGTATCTTTCGATACATGACTGACGAGGCAGTTTTTCCCCGCAGTAGGTTGCCATTTCTTTCTGCGGTAGACCAGTTGCCATCCAAGGCTATAGAATCAGGTCTGTCCTGCTATTTACCCATAGCTAAGAAGAGGATTCATACCTTTCACAAAGGTATTAGCACGTAAGTGAATGTAATGGATTCGACTGCAGTTCGAACTCGGCTTTCCGAATCCTTAATCCGAGCCGCTATACATTTCTCCAACATGCCTGTATACGGATCGTAAAGAAAGAAAAATATCAGGCCTAAAAACAAGATGTGTTTTTCACCAGATTTGCTAAGGGACAGGATTTATTAGTACAATTTTAACAACTTTAACAACACATGGTGAATAGGAAGTTATGGAGATCCTTGATCACCCACGCCCTGAAGACACAGGGTGCACAAAAGTGGAAGACACTAGCGAATAGTCTGTAAGAATTGCTTTTTAGCCATCGCTCTACGGCATGCAATGGAGCTTATCAAATTCGAACACTTCACTGAACCCATTTAGACCCACGTGCGCGCCTGTTTGCATTCAGGTAGACACGTGCGAATCGCAGAAGATATTAAATGTTTTGACAAATGTATGTCGCACGCAAACACAAGGCCAGTCAATTGTTAGTCGGCAGAAGGCGACACAAAATCACATTGATAGACAACCGGTGTACGCAAATTAAAAATGACACAAACGTCCAGTGTTATTCGTGTAGATAGGTACATATTTGCTAAGATAGTCGCAGTCTTGCGTAAACATGTCACCAGAATGAAAATGTCGAAGCTCGTCCGGAAGACACTCGGTTTTTAATTAGTGATATTACTCTCATTAGTCGCGCAGGTTTAATTACGGTCAGCTCGATTTGAAGCACGTGCCCCCGCTCATCTATCAGTCTCCCACTGCAATCTTTACTTTTGTCTGCTTCTAAAATCTAATTGGCTTACAACAATGGCGACTTGAACTAAATAAAAATCGGGAAATGTATTTGTAATTTGAAAGATCTGAATGTTAAGTTACAAAATTAATATTTTTGAACACTGTCTGGCATAAAGCTATAGAATCCCCAATGAGAATTAAACTCACTTGTCAGCGAAATGACATTCACTTATATATTTTTCATGGCGATAATGAACGAGAAATGATTTATGCAGAAAGAAATTATTTAGAATGAATTTATATAGAAAATGTTTATTTAGAAATGATTTATTTAAAAAGGATTTATCTAGAAAAATAATATTTTAAAAAAATTATTTAGAATGGATTTATACAGAAATGCTTTAATTAGAAATAAATTATTTAATAAAGGATATTTGTAGAACGGATTTATACATAAATTTATTTATTTTATATAGAAAGGGTTTATTTCGAAAGAATTTATTTAGAAATAATTAATATAGAAAGAATTTGTACAGAGAAAATTTATTTAGAAATGATTTATGTAGAATGGATTTATACAGAAATACTTTATTTAGAAATAATTTATTTAAAAAGGATCTATTTAGAAAGAATTTATTTAGAAATAATATTTTAGAAAGGCTTTATACAGAAAAGAATTCTTTAGAAAGGATTTATTTAAAAAGGATCTATTTAGAAAGAATTTATGTAGAAATAAATTATTTAGAACGTAATGTAAGGAAGTCGGGCTGATGATATATATCGAGACGGTGTTGTCACGCTAGAACAATTACTACTAGAAAGGAGTAGTGAGTTCGATCTTCACTAGAGCCCCCTACTTTCGGCCTTGTGCCACATCTAAGATACGCTTAGAAAATCACTATATCGTCAGCCTCTCTCATCCAGTGTTGGTGTGAAGCAGCTCCACGTCCTGGTCCAAAACGTCGTCCCTACATTCACTAATCGATATATATATATATATATATATATATATATATATATATATATATATATATATATTATAAATTAATTAATTTAAAATATTTTTTTTTTCGCTATACAGTTCAAACCATCTTTCAAAAATAATTTTTGAAACATGGTTAGAACTGTGTAACAAAAAAACATATTTTAAATCAATTAATTATAATATTAATGCTCTGTAAATTTACATTGAACACTATTTTGTAAAAATAAAAATATCTATAAGAACACCGGATTATATAGCTTACTGTTCTTTCTTTTTATTTATACACACACACACACACACACACACACACACATATATATATATATATATATATATATATATATATATATATATATACCTTTCCAATATTCTCGTTTTTACGTTAGATACAGGTGTTAGGTCATGTACTTCAGCATTCGGCAGCTGGAAATGATCCCAGGTTAATCATCTAGCGTACCCGTTTTTAATGTCTGAAGTGAACTTGAGACTGACTTGGCATAATACCACAATTACATTACGAAATATTTTCTACAGATTATTTTTCAATTTCTTTCTTTCTTTAACAGATTTAATAGACGTAACTCGAGTCTACTATGAATTTTCTGCAAGAAAAAGCTTTAATTTTTTTTATAATGATTTCGCTCAAAGTAAGACAATAAAATCACTAAAAAACGAGGGGTTACTGAGTGTGAAAGGATAAGAAAAAGAAAAACATTATGGAGCGAGAACAATAAAAGAAGAGGAATCAAGAAGACATTAGATAGCGACTGAGATTGCATTTAAATTTTTGAAGATCAAAGTTGGCTGGAATTCAAGGAACCGAAAGAGAGTTCCATAAGCAAGAAGTGCTAGAGAAGAAACTGTTAGCGTAGAACTTACGGTAACACGTAGCTATTTCAAATGTAAAAGGATGAGACCTTGCCGACAATCTTGTATTGCGCTTAAATTCACGATTCGGAAAGTTCATTAGAACAATTACCATGAAAATATTTATAGAAAATGCACATGGAAGCTACATTACGGCGGTGGGAAAGTGACAGAAGCCGAGAAGTTAGATCAGGACTAATAACATTGCGGATTATTCTTTCGATTTTATCAAGAATCTCTAAATATATAGCAGGAGATTAGATGTGGCAGCAATATTCAAAGCATGGACGAATGGTAAACTTATAAATATGAAAGGTAGATTCTAGAAGAGAAAAATTGTGTAGTACAACACAGGGAACCAACATTTCTAGCAGCAGATCTAGAAAACGATTCAATATAATCTTTTTGCTTTCATGTCAGCAGAGAATCTTAGCCAGAGAAGTTCTATATAAGGACGCTGATGAATTTCTTTAGAAATAATTTATTTAGAATGGAGTTATTTAGAAATAATTTATTTAAAAATCATTTATTTAGAAAGGATCTATACAAAAAAAGAAGGATTCATTTAGAAAGAATTTATTTAGAAAGAATTTATTTAGAAAGAATTTATTTAGAAATAGTTTCTTTAGAAAGGATATATGTAGAAAGGATTTATACAGTGATACTTTATTTAGAAATGATTTATAAAGAAAGATATTTATTTAGAAAGAATTGATATAGAATGAATTTATATAGAAAATGTTTATTTAGAAATGATTTATTTAAAAAGGATTTATCTAGAAAAAAATTATTTAAAATTAATTTATTTAGAATGGATTTATACAGAAATTCTTTAATTAGCAATAATTTATTTTAAAAAAATTGTAGAACGGATTTATACATAAATTATTTGTTTAGAAAGGGTTTATTTTAAAGAATTTATTTAGAAAAAATTCACGTAGAAAGAATTTATACAGAAATACTTTATTTAGAAATGATTTATTTAAAAAGGATATATTTAGAAAGAATTTATTTAGAAATAATTTTTTAGAAAGGATTTATACAAAAAGGAATTCTTTAGAAATGATCTATTTAAAAAAGATCTATTTAGAAAGAATTTATGTAGAAATAAATTATTTAGAACGTATTTATAGAGAAAAGATTTATTTAGAAAAAAATTAACAGAAAGAATTATTTAGAAATAATTTATTTAAAAATAATTTATTTAGAAAAAATTAATACAGAAAAGATTTATGTATGAGGAATTTATTTAAAAAGAATTTATGTATAAATGATATTTACAGAAATTATGCATTTAAAATGGAGTTATTTAGAAATAATTTATGTATTATTTATACATAAAATATTTATTTAGAAAGAATTTATTTACAAAGTATTTATACAGAAATTGATTACTTCGAAATAATTTATTTAGAAAGGATTTTTGTAAAAGGAGTTTATGCATAAATTCTTTAGAAATGTTTTATATTGAAATAATTTATTTCGAAATAATTTATTTAGGTTGAATCTATTTAGAAAGAATTTATGTAAAATGGATTAACACAGAAAGGAGTTATTTAGAAATAAATTATTTCGATCGTATTTATACAGAAATGTTTTATTTGGAAAGGATTTATGTAGAAATAATTGATGGAGAAATGCTTTATACAGAAATACTTTATTTAGAAATGATTTATTTATAAAGGATCTATTTAGCAATGATTTATTTGGAAAAATTATTTAGCAAGGAATTATCTAGAAAGAATTTATGTAGAAAGAATTTATATAGAATGGTTTTATACAGAAATGCTTTATTTAGAAATAATTTATTTAAAAATAATTTTTTTAGAAAGAATTTATTTAGAAAGAATTTATGTAGAATATTTTCAGACAAAAATGCTTTATTTAGAAATTATTTATTTAAAAAGCTCTATTAGGAGGATCTGTTTAAATGATTTACTCTCGTAACAATTAGTCACCTAATATAGCTTAGGAAAGACATTTCGTGGTTTATTTGTTTGATTCTCCCTGGGTACCTGCTATTTCGATAGTCTTGGACCTACAAAGATATATTACTAAATAACTTTTAGCA